AGAGATTATTTAAAGTAGATATATCAGCTCCTTTTCCTGCAAGGTATTTTACTGTGTCTAAATAACCATTTTGGGTAGCTAAATCTAAAGGAGAATTACCATTCTTATCTTTAGCGTCAATATTTGTTCTTTTTTCTTCTATCAAATATTTTACTACATCTAAGTTGCCATTAGCAGCAGCCACGTGGAGCAGAGTAAAGCCATTTCTATTAACAGCATTAATATTAGCTCCTTTCTCTGCAAGGTATTTTACTATATCAAAAGACATAGCTTCATACATAGGAGTATTACCACTCTTGTTAGTAACACTTAAATTAGCTCCTTTTTCTACAAGATACTCGACTACATCCAAGTGACCACCACGAGCAGCTAAGCTTAAAGAAGTATTACCATCTTTGTCTTGGACCTCAAGATTTACTCTTTTTTCCTCTATGAGATATTCTACTACATTTAGCTTGCCATTCGAAGCAGCTGCATGCAAAGGAGTGCCGTTGTTCTTGTTAGTAGCATGTAAATCAGCTCCTTTTTCTATAAGGTATTTTACTATATCTAAATGACCACCAAAAGCAGCTAAGTGCAGAAGGGTATTACCATTCTTGTCTTTAATCTCTAAACTAGAATCTACACTAGCACACTTAGCCTTATCAAGATCACCTCGCTTTACAGCATTTATTAGATCGAGATTAAATCGCGCCTGATTCAAAAGTTGCTCTATGTCGTAATTCTGAGTAGCTAAATATAGAAGACTATGGCCATCTTTATCTTGAACTTCAAAATTTGCTCCACGAAGAATGTACTTTTTAACCATGCTAGGATTACCTTGCTTTACAGCATTGATGAGATTAAAATCAAGTTCCTTTTGTTTTAAAAATTCTATTATTTTAGTATTGCCATTTCGAGTAGCTATCTCTTGTAAAGTATTGCCATTTTTGTCTTTAACTTTGAAGCTTGCTCCTTGATTGGAATATTTTTCCACCTTATCAAAATTACCTTGCTTTACAGCATTAAGTAAATTGAGATTAAGTTGTACTTCTTCTAGATACTGTACCACATCAGTGTTGATAGCTAGATCTCTTGGTGTTTTGGCGTTATCATCCCGAGAGCTAATATCAGCATTTTCTTTTATAAGATATTCTACCACATCTAATCTACCGTCTTGTGCAGCTACATGTAGAGCTGTTTTACCATTATTGCTTTCCTTATTGCTCTTGATAATTCTAGTGTGAATATTGATTCCTTGCTCAAGAAGGTATTTTACTATATCTACGTTACCACTAGCAGCAGCCACATGCAAAGGAGTATAGCCATCCTTACTAGTAGCTGTTAAACTTGCTCCTTTGTCTATTAGGTATTTTACTAAATTCAAGTTACCAGAAAAAGCAGCTAAATGTAGCGGAGTATCTCCATTCTCATTAGTAACATTAAAATAAACACCTTTTTCTATAAGATATCTCGCTACATTAAAGTGATTACCCCAACTAACAAAGTGTAGAAGAGAGTTGCCATAATTGTTAGTAGCTCTTAAATCAGCTTCTTTTTGAATAAGATGTTTTACCATATCTAGATGACCTCTTGCGGCAGCTAGAAATAGAGGAGTGTTACCATAATTATCAATAGCACTTACATCTGCGCCCTTTTTTATCAGATATTTTATGACACCTAAATTACTATTTAAAGCTGCTAAATGTAATACTGTGTTGCCATTATTGTCATCCTTATGAGTTAATTTAACATTCTTTTCATCTACGAAATACTTGATTATGTCCAAATTACCGCCTAAAACAGCAAAGAGAAAAGGTGTGTAACCATTGCTTTCTGTATTTAAATCTACTTGTTTTTGATCTATAAAGTACTTAACTATACTGAAATGACCTCGTAAAGCGGCAATATGCACAGGAATATTGCCATATTTATCTGTTTTTTTGAAATCAAAGTGTTTTTCATCTACGAGGTATTTAACTATATTAAAATGACCACCATAAGCAGCCCAGTGTAGAGCAGATCCTTGTGCACCTTTATCTGTAAAAAACTCAACTATATCAAAATAGCCACGACTAGCTGCAAAATCTATAGGAGTCATACCATTCTTATTTTTGGTATTAACATCAACCCCTTTGTTATTGACTAAAAATTGTACAATATTTAACTTACCATGATAAGCAGCAAGACTTAAAGGAGTATAATCGTCTTTCTGTACTGCATATAGATTAGCACCTTTTTCAACAAGACGTTTCACTACGTCCAAATTACCATTTTCAATAGCAAAATGAAGAGGTGTATAATTGTATTTATCTACATCTTCAGTTGATGCACCTTTATCTAGAAGTCTTGATACAATATTACCCTGTCCACTTGATGCTGCAAGATGTAGTGGGGTTAAATCATCTTTCCCTCTGATGCTTACTTCTATGATATTGATTGATAATAACTCCAAAGCAACATTTTCTTTTCTAGATTCGATGGCTAAATGTAGTGCAGTCCAACCATCAGCTGATTTTTGATTAATATTAACTCTATAATGCCCGATCATAAATTTAACGATTGCTAAATTACCAGTCAGAGATGCAAAATGTAAAGCTGTCAAACCACCTTTAGCTTTAGCATTAGCTTCAATTCTATAATTGACTAATAATGCTTCAACAGCATCATCATATTCACCAATTACTGCTAAATGTAACGGTGTTAATCCTGTTTCAGATTGTGCATTAATATCAATTCTACTATTTTGAGATAAGGAAGTAATGACATTATTTTTGCCGAAGGAAGCAGCAATATGCAAAGGAGTGAATCCTCCTTTAGTTTTTGCATTAATATCAATTCCTTCACCTTGCATTAGATTAGTAATAGTGCTTACATGACCTTTTTCGGCAGCAATATGTAAAGCTGTCCAATCAGAATTAGTTTTTGCATTTATGTCTGCACCATTATTTATCAGATCCTGGATAAAACTCTCGTAACCCATTTCAGCAGCTATATGAATAGGAGCATAACCATTTATATCTTTAGCATTAATATCAGCACCCATATTTTTAAAAGTCAGCATAATATGAGAATTACCATTTTTTGCAACAGCATGAATTGCCTGTCTGCCTCTTTCATATCTGGCATTAGCATCGGCGCCATTTTCAAGCAAAATCTTCATTTCATTGATGGCCATATTTTCATTTGGCTCTGAAGCAGCATTATAAAAATCTCTGCTAATATCTCTAAATTCTCTTTGATTGCTATCTACAACGATACCAACCAGTTCGGGTTTATCATTATCAAATTTTCTAAAGATAAGACGAGTTCTTCCTTGTGGATCACTTCCTATATCAAGCAGTGGATTTGCTCTGCCGTATACTGTATATGGTGTGGACCATTCACCAATTGGGTAGTAAGTATCATTATCTTGAAATTGTACTGCATAGCTAACTTTTCTTCCATCTTGCCACTTTTCAATAGGTGTGTTCACTTGTGAGTTAGAAAAATCATATTTTATTTTTCTTGCTGGCTTTTCTTGAGACAGGACACTTATTTCTATAAGTTGCGATTTAACCGAACTTAAATAATCTATTTTTCCTGATACAAATTTTACTATGTCTTCTCTTTCATCTTTAATGAAATCATAAGACTTTGCCTCATTTAATATATTAACCACTGCATCAATTAAACCATCGTTACCAACCAATGAGTCCTTAAAATCATTAAAAGTTGTTAAAATTGAAGAAAAGTAGCGATTATATTTTTCTACATCACTTTCTTGATAATGAAGATCAGCAAGGTAGCTATATTCTTCAAGTAAAAAGGACATTATAGAAATGTAAGTTTCAGTGCCAAAACATAATAAACCAAGTGCAGTAAATGCTATTTTATCATTAGAATTTTCCGGAATAGCAGACTTGTGATTAATGATGTTATATAAGAGTGTATGCAAGCTTCCTGATTGTGGCATTCGAGAGTTTTGCAGACGATATAAAATGTCATTTATTCCTGCAAGTTTAGTAATGTATTGGTCCTGAGTTAAATTTCTTATAGCATTTTTTTTATGTATAAAATACCTAATAACAGTAATTAATTCTGAAGTAATGCCTTCTATTTTTGTATGTATAACAAAGTTAGTAACTTCTCTAAACTTTTTTTCTATCACATTTCCAAAGTTACACTCTAATGCTTTAAATCCTGACAGCATTACTTCAAGATTTCTGTCTACTTTACTTTCTGCCCTTCTAGTGGTCCCACCTACTTTATCTTCTACTACTCCAGTGCTCTCATAGCTTCTATCTAACTGACTATTAGTCATCATAGGTATAGAAGTAATGCCCATGAGAAAGCCAGCGTTAGTAAGAAGCAGTGCCTGACTAGCTATGTGATTATCTAAAAGAAGTTCATAATTTCTATTAATAGCCCAATAATTCTCAGCCACCTGTGTAGAAATATCTTGAATGGCTTGAGGATCATCAACTATTTTCTGAATAAAACCAAGAATAGCTCTAAACTTTTTAGTAGCATCAAACACTTGCTCATTTTTACAAGTTATTGGTTCATCAAGATCCACAAAACTTTTATCGAAATTTTCCCTTACCGACTTCAGATTGTCACTTAAACCTGTAACAAGACTTTTAAACTCTTCATTTGGCCCAGACCAAGACCAACCTGTATCCGCAACGGGTAGGGTGTACTGTCGAATCCATTTTTGAAGTAACTTTCTAACCGCAACTGTTATTATGGGAATAGGGATAGGATTACGTTTTGACCGTTTTAGTGCCTCAATACCACTTTCACCAAAATTTATAGTTTCATTGCTGAACCTTTTTTGCTTTATATCAGATTGTAACAACAGATCTCTTTCACTAGTTGATTGTTGCTGTTGATTTATTCCCATTTCACCTCCACCTAAAATGTAACCCCTTCAATAGAAAATAGTAAACAATTATGTATACTAGATATGGCCTCATTTTAACACAGGTATTTTTAGTGTCAATAGTTTTTTTTAGGCCTAATTATGTTATAAAAAATGGTGATCCCAGTGTGATTTGAACACACGACCTACTGATTAAGAGTCAGCCGCTCTACCAACTGAGCTATGGGATCTTATTAGTCTTATAT